AGCTAAATCCCTGCCCCCCAGCTTTTCTTCTTTTTGGTACCGGGGATCAAACTCGGATCCTTGCGCTTTTGCACAGCAGGCGGCAAAACCACTGAGCTAAATCCCTGGCCATGCCCAGCTTTATTTTTTTTTTTTTTAATTTTTTTTTTTGGTACCAGGGATCGAATTCAGGACTTTGCACTTGCAAGGCAGGCGGCAGAACCACTGAGCTAAATCCCTGCCCCCCCCAGCTGTATTTTTGATCCAGGATCTAATTTAATATCCAGGCTGTAAGGTTCACATGTTTCATTTAGTTGTGATACCTTTTTAAGTATCTTTTAATATATGAGTTACTCACCTTTTGCTTTTTTGCTTTTGTTGTTTCTTGACCTTTTCCTGAGTCTAAGCCAGTTGTCTTATCCGTTGTCCTATATCTGGATGTGTCTGATTGCTTCCTCAAGGCAGGTTCAGGGTTTTCTTCTTGGCGTGAATACACGAGGATGGCGCCATGACTTCTTATTGCATCACATCAGGAGACAAGTGATGCCTGTTGCTTACTATTGGTGGTGCCAGCTTCTATCAGTTGGTGAAGGTGGTGACAGCCAGATGTCTCAATTGTAAAGGTACATTTTCCTTTTGTGATTAGTAAATAACCCAAAGAATAATATCTTGACACGATGTAAATCTCTTTCCCAGCAACCTTTCACCAGATTGAATTCCTTCTTGCTATCTACTTACAGCTTCAGTTCCCTGTTTTTATTTCCTTACACAAAACACCCATATTTTATATACCTGAATTCTTTGCTCTGCAGACCTAGTTCTGTTTCCTGTTGTTTCTGATGGCTCTCACTCATGGTGCCATGTTTCCTTGTTTGTTTTTGTGATTTGTGACTATACGACTCTGTGTGATTTTGTGGACACCTGGGTGGAAGGTGGGTTCCTTCTGAGAAGACAGACTGAAGTTTGGGGAGCTTCCAAGGTGGTGTGAATTGAGGCTGAAATCTGGAGGCTGGCATCTCTGGGTCCAGGTGTAGTTCTGGTTCAACTTAAGCATGAAGCCTATGGGCTGTCATCTTTATTGAGGTTCTCCTGTGAGACTAGACGCACGCATTCACACATTATGGGAGGGCCGTAAGTGTTGTCTTTGTCGCCCCAGAGGCTGTAAGAACCCAAATTTCAGGTTATTAATGCAGTAGATGTCCTCAGAGAAGGTGCTAGCTGCGGGCTTTGCAGGCCTCACTTGGTTGAGTTCTTGATATAGTATTTTTAGCCTCTGAATGTTTCAATTTTTTTTTGTCAATTTAATGATGCACTGAGGATTTTGGATTTTATTTCCTATCTTATGAACATTTTTATATGTTTTCTGGGTGGAGGAGACATCAGGGTATCCATTTTACTGCAGGTGGCACCCAAGTGGAATACGGAATGCTCAGGACCTTGAGGGCTTGTCTCACACACATTTGTGGTGGTGAGGGCTGGAGGGTCCCATTAGAGGGGGTCCTGCTAGCCTAGGTGGCTTTTCCTGGTGCTGATATACATGAAGGTGGAACCTGGTGAGCTGGGACAGGCAGAGCCAGTGCTCAGAGTATCTCAGGGTGACGGCTTCCCTGTTTTCTCATGCTTCTCAGTTCTTTCTGCTGATTTCTAAACATCCTCCAGTAAGCAGTTGTCCTGTTATGATAAAATGAGAGGCCTTGGAGGTGGGCACTGGGCCATGGACCTTGGAGGCCAGGGAAGTGCCTGGGGCTGACCTGTGCCCAGTGGGTCAGACTAAGGGGTGCAAATGGGTAGAAACCCCAGAAATTGTCTTGGGAAGGGACCTGTTGTCTTTGGGTACTAGCCATTCCCTTGGCCTTGTCTCATCTGCCTTGAATTGCATGTAGGTTCTGTCTGAGCTGACATAGCCTCTATGGGCTGTGGGATGGACTGTGGCAGCATGCTGGGCATATGCGTATCTGCTCTGGCTCCCTTCTGAGGGCCATTGCTTGGGCACCATGGCTGCTATACCTGCCAAGGTGTAAAGGTGGGATGTAACCTGGCCCCAGCTACACACTGGACTGTCTGCATGCCTGGAAGGCTCAGGGTCCCTTTCTGTGGGGATCAGCCTAAGGCCTGCTAGGCTGCTTCTGTTGTAGCATGTTTATTTGTGTTGCAAGGGCCAAGGGCCTCCAGTTCCAAGGCATTTGTAGACCCTCATAGGAAAGGCTGTCAGAGTTAATGCAAATTGTGTCAAAGTTCTTTCTTTTAATTTTTGAATCTGTCTTGCTTTGACATCACAAAGAGCAAGCAGAACCGAAGTTGTGCTCTAGATTAAGTTTCCTGTTCCTTTGCCCTCTGGGAGGAAAAGACAGGGGTAGAGCAGGGCACCATACAGTGATATGGCCAGTGCCATACATGGGCTATACGCAGGGGCTATGGCCTCCACCCTGAGCAACTGGTGCCAGGGGAGATAGGATAATGCAATTATTCTCAATTAGATTAATAAAGAATAATTAGATGTCATAAATCAAGTAATCCTAGGATATTGTCATGGGAAAAATATGTAGGTAGAATTAATTAGTTTTCAAATAAAGTGTTTATTTTAATTGCTTGAAATGATGGAGCCCTTAATTGCTGATGCATCATTCTGGCCTGAGTATTTGGGCTGTTGTAACAACGTGACGGGTTTGTTCCCCGCCGTTCTGGGGAAACAATAGAGGAGAACTTGATTTCATCACCTTACAATGAGCCTTCTGCTGCGAGGTTCTGGAAACTCCCGCCAGGCTGCAGGCAGGTGGCAAGTGTGGGCTGGGCTTCTCGGGCACTGCCTGAGGCCACCTTACTGCGTTTGAGTATGTTTTTATGCATGTATGTATGTGTGTGCATGCCTGTGTGTATGGACATGCATGTGAGTGTAAAAGTTGTGCATGTGCCTCTGTTTCTGCAGGAGTGTGTCAATGTGAGCACATGTATATGTATTTATATGAGTGTGTGCCTGCATGTTTGTATGTATGTGTGTGTGTCTGCATCTGTGACAGTATGCATGCAGGAGTGTGTGTGTATGTGCATATGAGTGTGAGCATATACATGCATGTGTGTGTAAACGTAAATATGTGCCCGTGTTTATGCACATGTACTTGCGTCTGTACTGCATATGGGAGCTTGTGCAGAGGTGGTCTATTGGATTCTGCTGTCTGGACCCATGTGATGAGAGGGACCTCCGACCTGGACTTAGTGCTTTCCTGCTGGGTTAGGTTAAGGTGCTTTAGCTGGGGTGCTACCGGGAATCGAACTTGGGACCTTGCACTTGAGAGGCAGGTGGCGGAACCACTGAGCTAAATCCCCGGCCCTGGGCTGCCTTCTTGACTCCTTGTGGAGCTGGGGCCTGCAGGCTGTATTTGCAGGCACAGCTTGTATAGGCAGTCAGTGGCTTCTGAGGGCCCAAAGCTGCCCCTTTGAACTTGCCCTCCAGGTTAGCCTGCCTTGAGGCAGTGCTTTCAGTGGACCACAGCAGTGGCATTCGTCTGAAGAACATTGTAGGCTTGGGTCTTCTCCTGAAGGAAGCCACCCTTACATTTGGGGAGAGTTTGTCATCCTTTAGCCAAAGGTCAGAGGGCCTAGTTGGCTCACTCCTCCTTCCCAACCCCATAAAAAGAAAAAAAGAAAAAAAGGATTTGGCACTTTGTAAAGTGCTTTTATAGTGACTTCCTCATTCTCTTTGAAAGCCCTTGAGAGTGGCAGGGTCCATTGATGGTGTGGCTACCTGAGTCTCTCACCAGGAACAGTGTACTCTTGCCCTGAAGTCAGAGCCAAGGCCCCTTCCTAGGCCTGTCCCTGTTAGCACTCGCACTAGGTCACTAGGATCTAGGCCCAGCCCTAGTCTCACCTCAGTGGCATAGGTGCAGACCTTGTTGGCACAGTCCACCCTGCATATGCCCTTGTGGTCTCCAGGGAGCCTGGCTTGGGCTGCTGCCTGCTCCTCCATGCTCTGTGCTATTTGGAGCCCACTCCTCCTTTTCTTATGAAAAGAGAGAGAAGACAAGGGGGTGGGTTGGCTTTAGGGGGAGGCAGCAGGGCTTAGAGGTGGAAGGCATGGCTGGAGGGGGTCCCCAGGGATGAGCTGTGCACTAGAGAAGCCTTCATCTCTCCTGCCTCCACACCTACTCTTTGTTGCATGTGGCCTTGACCTGTGGCCCCTTCTCCCACATCCCATAGCAGCCTCTGGGCCAACATTCCTTTCTGGAGGAATGCTTCCTGTCTTTTTTGATCCTGTTCTTTTACTAGCTGTGGTCCTTCTGGTGGTTACAGCTGCCACCCAGTTGGACAGGCTTGTCCCCACCCTCCTGTGTATATGATGCAGTTGGGTTGATTGGGAACTGTCCCACAGCCCACTGGTAGAGACCCAGGACAGGCTGTAGCAGCCCCAGACTGTCTGCCCCTCACCTTTTCCTCTGCAACTTCAGCCTAGCACATGGCCAACTGGAAATGCTCCCAGCTACTGGGGCAGGTCACTTCTGGCTCTGGGGACACCTTGTTTGTCAGAACAGCCACCTTTAGGACTGAGTTGGCATAAGGGCCTCTGCAGAGTTGAGTGGGTGAGGTGGGTTCAGAGTGGACCCTGGAAGCTTCTCCATTTGAAGGGACCCCAGCAAGTCCCTTTGTGACAGTAGCCCTGTGAGGAGCAGCCAGCTGTTCTACACCTTGGAGCACACAGGCTCTAGAGCACTTCAGGCCTGAGCCCTGGACCTAGGCTAGATCACTCAGCCATTTCATGCCTTAGTTTCCCCAATGTCAGAGGGTGCCACCTCCTCACAGGGTGGTTGTAACAATTAGAAATTGTGATGGTGAGTGCAGGCCTAAGATCCAGCAGGGGTGTTTACAGCAGAGGTGAGGAGGGGGCACTTCTTCAGTTCCCCTGGGGCCGCATGTGGTTCCTAGCACCCAGCATTCCCGCCATCTGTTGAGCTGATGGCAGTGCCCACTCAGGGCTGGTTCTGGAGCAGAGAGCAGCCCAGCCTGACCCCTGGCTTCCCGCTCCCCAGCTAGCCATGGACCCCAAGTGGCAGCATGTCCTGACACTTTTTTACCACACTGCATGGAGAGGTGAAGAAGGGTTCAAGGAAGGGAGGAGATTGGATTCGCCAGAAGAGCACATAAGGTAGGGCTCTTGAGGGAGGGAGGCACTGGAGCAAGGGCTGGATGGGGTAGGGCTCAGCCTAGCCTGGAAGCAGGACAAGCACTGCCAGCATGCAGGAAGTGGAGCAGAGAAACACTAGTGTGGACAGCAGGAGTGGGGAGGCAGAGGGCACAGCTGGTATAAGGAAAAGATGATTCAGAGACACATGTTAAAGCACTGCAAGGAAAACGTTACTCAGGCCATTGTGGTGGTACTGGGACCACGGCAATGAGGCTTTGAAATGGAGGAGGAACATTGGGCTCAGCTCTTGAATACAGCATGGACAAATGGAAATTTAGTCAAGAAACCAAGGGGCTTCAGTGTACAGCAGACATCAGGAATGAGGGGGATTCTGACTAAAGGCAGGGCCAGGTGATCAGAGACATCACGCACCCAATCAGATATTGAGGGTAAGCAGAGTTTTTACTAAAACTAGATTTTACAAAGAAGTCCATATATGGGCCTAGGAGAAGGTTCAGACATTGAATTAAGTTTGGTGAAGCAAAGAATCTTTTCCTGAGAATTTCTTTCTTTCTTTTTTTTTTTTTTGTACCTGGGATCGAATTTGGGTCCTTGCGCTTGCACAGCAGGCACCGGAACCACTGAGCTAAATCCCCGGCCAAAGCAAAGAATCTTTTGCCGGGGGAGTAGGGGGCTGCTGGAGATGGAACCCAGGGCCTTGTGCATGTAAAAGAGCACTGAGCTACATTCTTAGACTCAAGCAAAAGAACTTCACCAGCACTGGACAAGAAGCCCTGAAGGCAGCATGTGGCTCTGTGCAGGGCACCCAGTGCCAAAGTGGCCAGGGGTAGGTGTGGATGCCATTGTACCGGCCCAGGGAGGGTAGAGGTTGGCAAATGGTAATACCAGTGAGGTGCAAAAGCCCATAGGTGGAATGGGGGTTGTATGGAGGGTTCACAGATTTCCATCAGGAGCAACGACCAGAAGAGGCCTATTTGGGAAAGGGTGAGCACCTCCCTCTTGGCTGGGCCCCCATGGCCCATGCAGCGAGCTGATTCTTAGCCACAGGACCATTGAGCACTTTTGCAGAGCAGGAAGTCTCCCTTCCTCCAGGAGAAACAGGGCCAGGGGCACTGATTGGGTCAGGGTCCCAAATGCCTCTGCCCAGGCTGCCTCCCTGGAGGAGGACAGATGGCTCTTGTCACTCATGTGTCCTTCCTTGGTCCCCAGGTGACTGCACCCTGCCTAGCATGGCTGTTCCCCTCCCCCTGCCACCGCCAGGCCCCCAGTTTGTTCTGCGAGGCACACAGTCAGCAGTGAATGCACTGCATTTCGGCGGAGGAGCCCAGGCCCAGGGGCGCCAACTTCTCTTCTCAGGGTGAGTAGCAGTTGCCTCAACCTGAGCCTGGGGATGAAGTCAGAGGGTTGTAGGGCTAGCACAGAGCCCAGAACTCATTTAGGGTACAAGCATAGAGTTTCGAGGCGCCTGTCCCTTGTGCTTGCTGTCCTTTCAGGACTGACCCCCTTGGAGAAGCAGGGACACATGCCCCTTTGTTGGAGACTGTGTAGCCTACATTCAAGTGGCAGGGCTCTCCTTCCCCTCTGGAGCAGCACTTGGTGCCTAAGTTCCCCACCCAGGCTCCCAAGGGTCTTGCCACTCACCTTCTCTGGAGCAGCCAGTTTTATCCTTGATTCATAGTTAGCGCTGTTGACTATTAACCTGAAACCTCTAGTGGTCAAAATGCCCTCATTGCCACGTGTGTGGTGTCTGGGTGGGGCCCAGGGCAAGCTTGGAGTGTCCACCTGACTCTGGTGCCTGCTCCTGACCTGTGCTGGGCTCCTCTCAACAGGTCTCAGAGTGGTCTTGTTCATATCTGGAGCCTGCAAACACGGAGAACAGTTGCAACCCTGGATGGCCATGGGGGCCAAAGTGTAACTTGGCTGCAGATGCTACCCCAGAGCCACCAGCTTCTCAGGTATGTCACAGCAGCACTCATTGAGGTCCTAAAGCAGCCACTTCCTGGCCTCCAATGGGAGTCAGGAGCACCCCAACACAGGCCCTTGTAACTACACCTGGCTGCCAGGGTGAAATAGGAGACTTGAAAGGTCAATTGAAAAGAATGAAAAAAAGAAAGGTCAAGGGGCAGCCAGCCAGTTTGGTTGCCACATGTGGAAGATACTAGGATAGCCCCTTATCCTCAAGGAGGTGAGCAGAGCCAACATCTTCTGGCTTTACCATCTTCGCTGAAGCCTTTATTTGCTCCAAGGCAGGGTTGGAGGGTGCCACCTCAGGAGGCTGGAGTGCTGGGGCTGGTAACATCTGAGGTGACTTCTACCAGCCCAGGTGTGACATGTCAGGGAAGGCCAGGCTTCATGGAGGGCACTTGGTTGTGGCTTTGAGGTGGGCAGAGATGATGGGCCACAGGCTGGGGGAGTGGAATCAAGTATAGGCTCAGACCAAGAGCCTGGGGGGAGCCAAGTGGACACAGCAGGCCACATCTGAAAGCTAGAGTCCTGGCTATGTATCCCTTTCTGGATTGTAACTGCCCACTTGACTCACTCAGTGGTTTGCTTCAGCTTCTGAGTAGGTGCAGCAATGGGGCCAACTCCCTGCCTGTGGCCCTGCAGCATCTCCTGTGTTTCTGCCCAGCCAGGTTCCCTCCTCTAAGGCTCTGGTTCCAATATGAGAGACTATGTGCTGTGTGTGTGTATGTGCGTGTGTGTGTTCTGTACCCTAAAAATCACTTGTGCATCTTGTCTAGACTGCCCTCAAGCTGAAAGGGCCCACTGGGGGATGACCCTTCCCCATCAAAGTGCTCACTAACCCAGCCTCTGTTTATCTTAAGAGTGGGTTTCTGGTACCCTTGGCCTTTCCCAAGGCAGTGTGTACAGGTGCTGTGCTGGCCACCCACCCTCTAACTGCTGAGAAGAGTCTGCCAAACGGTACATGAATGCCTCTTTCCACAGCCTATGCTTCAGTTGGGGCAGGGAGTTGTCACTCCAGTGAGACTACATAGGTTAAGGCCATAGAGAGTCCAACTTGGGAGTGTCATGAGGGGCCACGAGAGACCCAAGGCTGGGCAGCCTGCGGTGATCCTGAGGCAGGAGCATCCCTTGGTAGTTTCTGGGGTTGTGTTCTGGCATTGTCACTGTGGCCTTGTGGAGGTGACAGGCCCAGGGACATCAGATGGGTCAGGAAGGGGCAAATGGGTAAGAGGCTTCTCTGCTTCCCATGGGGAGAGGGAAGGATAGGGCATGGCAGGGATGGGGAGGGTGTGCAGGCAGCCAATAACAAGTCCTCTTACAGGGCTACCTGGCTGCCAGAGCAGGGTATTGTCCTCAGTCATAGCAACATTTGCCCTTCTTGGGGACTGCTGCTGCCAGCTCAGAAACCAAATCAAAGTGCCACTTCCCTGAGCAGTCTTTTCCCCCCACAGATTGCTTATGCTTCCCTCCTGGGTCTTGGCACCCTTCATGTTCAGGGCATTTCTGTGATAGGCCTGTCCTCCTGTTCTAGACTCAGACCCTGAGACACCCGAGTGCAATGGCATCTAGTCCCTGGATGACAGGATTGTTTGTCCCCTGATGGTCTGTAGAGGACTTTTGTGCCAGACTCACGTGGTGCCACCACCCAGAAGATGGCTGTTGGGGGCTGAGGGACCAGAGTTGTCCAGGAGGGCAGTGGCTCTGACCCTGCGTGCTTGTGGAGCCTTTACTGAACCTTACCTCCTTGCCCTCGGCACAGAGGGCTCTGTGTGGTTTTGGTGTTTCCTTAATTGTCAGAGTAGACATTTCTAAATACCCCCACTGAGCCAGTGGCGCTCAAATTACCATTTGTAAATGTTCCCAAGTTTTCAGCTGAGAGGCCTTTAAGGACCTCCTGCTCCTCCAGGGGCCAGACACCTGGGTGGCCTTGAGCAGTCCTCTGGGTTGCACAATGGCAGGCCTGGTGTGGGAGGCACACTCAGAGGGCAGCCTGGGGCAAGCATTTTGTGATGTCTCCTCTCGCAGCCAGGATGGTGCTGCAGAGGCCTCTCTCCAGCAGGCTCAGCTGTGGGTCAGGAGGCCTTGGATGGAAACTGCAGGTGTGGAATTCCCAGGTGCATTTACATTGCACTGAACACTGTAGTCTGTGAGGCTACCTCCACTCGGCCTGTGTTCAGCTGTGTTTGAAAGCCACATCTCTCTAAGTGGCCCTTGAAGGAGGCTGTGTGCTTTCAAGTCTAGGAAGGGATAGAGGATCCCCAACTCCACCTACACCTGTGCCATACAGCCTCTTTGACAGGGCTTTTTTTCCCTTTTTCAGTGTGAAATATAACATACCGGTACTTACAGAAGAGTGCAAGTATGAGTGTGCAGACTGTTGCATTATCACAGAGGGAGCACCTGAGCAACCATCTCCTGGGCGAGAAGGGTAGCATTACCAGCTCCCCAAATCCCCCAGCATGACCTGCCACCCTCACAAGTGCTACCCACCCTCCCCAGAGGTAGACGGTGGCTCTATGCCTTGTTCTTGCTTTACTGTCTTAATATTTGTCTCAAAAAAGCAGAGGCTAGTTTTATCTTTTTTTTATTTTCTTGAGAAAAATGAAACCGTAAGAAAGAATCCCTTTTGCTTCTGACTTTTGTCTCTCATTCCAGTCTCTACAAGGTCCATTCAGTATGTGTAGCTACAGCTAGTTGTTTCCTGTGTGGTACCCATTAGTGCGTTTGCATCGGGTTGCCCACTTGGGGCTGTTGGACAGAGTTGTCAGGAGGACTCATCTGAGTCTCCTTGTGCCTAGAGGTACACATGTGCACCTAGGTGCAGGTTGGGCCCCCGAATCCCGAGCTGGGATGTTTGGGCCACAGTGCTTGTGTACATTGGATTTGTCAGCAGCAGACACCGACCTGCACCTCCCAAAGCCGGTGTGCCCCTGCCTACTTCACCCCTATACATGGGCACTTCTGAATGTGCTTGATTTGAGTTTTTTCTAATCCCAGTGGACCCTTTTCTTATGTTTGTCAGCCACTTGGAGAAACTATCTTAAATACCTCTTGGTTTCTTGTCTATTCCTCTGATTGACTGCCTTTCTCTTACAGAGATAGAGTTCTTTTTAATATTCTGGATATGATGGATATTTTTATATTTCATATTATTCCTCCAGCATTGATGGGTTGCATTCTTCACTCTCCTGATGGTGTCCTCAGTGAACAAAAGTATTTTAATGGAGTCCCATTTGCCAGGCTTTTTCCCCTCCTGGTGAATGCTTCTGGGTCTTTCAAGGAAAGCGCTGCCCTGAGACTTTCAAAGAGGTCCCTTCTCATCACCTGAGAACTCTGATGTTCTTAGATCATGGTTCTTCTGGAATTCACTGCTGGACTGTGAGGCATATTCTGCTTCCATGGAGACCTAGTGGTCCTGTTGCCCCCCTCATTCCCTTCCAGCGTCAGCCATGTTGGCATCTGAGCTCATGGGTAGGGAAAAAGGGTGCCCGGCAGAGGTACCGGCAGCCAGAAAAGCAGAGCAGTGGATGACATTACAGAAGTGGCCAGGATGGTGGAGAGGCTGGCCACGTCAGGTAGACAGGCTCTGTGGTTGAGCACGTCAGTAAAGGTGTGAGTGGTAGGAGGGCTGGGGATTCCCCTGTGTGAAGAAGAGAGGTAGACATGTGGAAAGGGGAGGGTGACACAGGGTGGCACCCACCAGTTCCTAGGCTGGGGTCATTTGAGGAGTAGGATATTGTCATAACATCAGAATATCTCCTATCACAGGATCACAGAATCCTTGCCAAACAAGGGTAATGGGCTTTGCAGTGGACAGGCCCAGCGGGAACCATCTTGACCAGGAGTGCAGGTTCCATCATGTGCTTCCTGTTTTGATGGCTAAGGAAGGTGCAGCATCATCCTCATGGCATCCCTCTAGGAACATGGCCTAGGTCTCATCAGCAGGCAGTGTCCTCTAGGGAACAAGGGCATGCTGGAGACATGAGAGGTGGAAAGAGGAAGGAGTGTGACAGGCTGCTGGGGGCTGGTGAAGATCAACAGCAAGTGTAGTGTGCACTCCATGTGGGGCCCAGCAGGCCACAGCAAGACAGAGGCTGTGGGTTGTTGGGGTTAGGGGTGTCAATGATGAAGTAGTGTCCTTGTGTGAGGAGGGGCACAGGTAAGAATGGGCACGTGTGTGTGCTCATGGGACAGGGGAGGGGCTGAGTAGGTCAAGTAGGTCACCTAGGACAAGTACATCACCAGGCAGGAGGTCTTGCGAACATCTCCATGCTATCCTTGACTGTCCTGTGAGTACAGAATAGAAAGTTGGGATTGTCTCTTGTTTGTTTTGTTTTGTTTGGCTTTTTGAGGCAGGGTCTCGCTATGTAGTTCAGGCTAGCCTTGAACTCACTATGTAGCCCAGGTTGGTCTCGAACTCACAGCAATCCTCCTGCCTCAGCCTTCTGAGTGCTGGGATTATAGGCATGTGCCACCACACATATAACTAATTATAGTGTATTATTTGAGGAAGAATGACAAGAAAAAAGTTATAGCCAATACAGGTGCAATATTTTTTCTCCAAATATTTTCAGTCTGCAGTTGTTTAACACAATCAGAGCCCATGGATACAGAGGGGTGACTGTCTTTGAGAATAAGCTGGTTGTTTACTCCCTGCCTGGTGCACATCAGTGCCCATAGGCATGAGCATGATGCTTGACTGCCTTCCCCACCTGGGCCCTGCCGTCCAGCAGAGTCTCATGCAGGCTGTGTGAGTCTGAGTCCTCCAAATATCCAGGCACATTTGAACATCAGCTTGGCAGGTGCTCTAGAAACAGTAAAGCCTGGTATGGAGTTGCTCCAGGTCAGATCCAGAAAGAGGGCCCTCCATGAGCCAGGTTCTCTGAGGCCTGGGTCCCTCATATGTTTGTGCATGGTAGCAGCTCAGAGGAGTTTTGGGCAAATTTTTCAGTTTCCCACCAACGTCTCTTCTGTTTTAGGGTCTACTGAATTGTCTTGGCTCCTTAGTCCCCTCTCTTCTGAGATCATTTCATTCCTTGTTTTTTGTGACCTCAACATTTTTGAAGAGTACTGCTCAGATGTTTTGCAGAATGCCCCTCAGATTGAGTTTGTGATGTTCTCAAAGGCTTAAATGCGTGTTATGGGTTTGGGGAGGAAACCCACAGAAATGAATGTCCTCATCCCAGGGTACCGTGAATGCATGGTGTCCCCACGGCTCATTGCACGAGAGGTTGACCTGATCATTTGGTTCAGGAAGTATCTGCTGGGGCCCACTGTCAAGATCCAATAAGTTGAGGAGGAAAAAAAGATTCAATAGGTTGAGCACAAGTAATCTGAAAATCTGAAACTTTTTGAGTATTATGTCAGCTCTCAAAAATTTAGAATTTTGGAGCACTTCAGATTTCAGATTTCTGGATTAGGAATGCTCAACTAGTAAAGCCTATGTAACCATTTTAAAATCAGAAAAACTCTGAAATACAAAACTCTTCTGGACCCAGAATTTTGAATTTTGAATAAGAGCTCCTCAACCTGTATCTTCCTGGATTCCTGAGCAGCAGGTCCTGCCCACACTCAGTGGAGAATTAAGTTTCATCTCCCCAAGGCAAGAGGTCCGTGAACATATGGGCCTGTTTTGGACCCAGCACCGTTAACTAAGGATAAATGGAAGGAGGCAATTTGTGCCTACGCAAATGCCCTGCTTCTCCTTAGAGTTTGCATTTACCAGTGGGTTCTGCCTGCAGGTTACTACTTGGGTGTTCTCATGGGGACTTTTTTTTGAGAGGGTGCTTTCTGTTTTCCTCATTTCTCCTCACTTCCTTTTCATTAGAATTCTGCTTTAATTGAAACTTAGGAACCCATGAGGAAAGTTTTTCCCTTCTTCCTCATTTATTTATATGTTTACTCATGAAATTGGACTTGTGGAGACTCATTTCATTCTTTGGGTTAAAATCTAATATTACTGGCATTTATCACTCAGATTTTTCCAACTTTTGGGCACGTATCTTTTTTTTTTTTTTTTGGTACCAGGGATCAAACTCAGATCCTTGTGCTTGCGCAGCAGGTGGCGAAACCACTGAGCTAAATCCCCGGCCCTGGGCACATATCTTTTTGATGTGCCACTATCTTTTACTTTGTTTGTAAGCTATTTCTATTTTTTTCTGGAACTAATTGAAAGATGCTTGAAACTCACCTTGGTTTCTTCCCTCACCCTGGCCCTAGCATCACTATTTCTTCAGAAACCTGGCTCCTGTGTTTGGAGAATGGGATTAACTGAGCCCTGGGTGCTAGGGGTTTTGTTGCTTCTAGGTGCTTTGGGTGCACAATGCTGGGGGACTCTTGGGCACATGCTGTGCATATCTACATTCATCTCTGTCTGTCTGTGCGTGGATGTGACTACACATGCACTCTTGCTGACCTCTGGTTTCTGATAGTCACCCCACAGGCCCCTCTGTGAGGGAGAAACGCAGTTCTCACTGTCCACCATTGTCATGTGTCATTCTCCCTAGTGGGGTTGTGCAAAGTTTTCAGAACTGCTGCCTGTCTGTGAAACTAAGCCATCTGTGGTGGCACATGCCTGTCATCCCAGCACTCTGAGAGGGCAAGGCAGGAGGATCACAAGATTGAGCCCAGCCTGGGCAACTTAGACCCTATCTCAAAATTTAAAGAGAGGGAGAGAGAGAGAGAGAGAAGGGGAAGGGGAAAGGAAAAGAAAAGGGAGGGAAGGGAAGGAAGAGCTGGGGATGTAGCTCAGCACAAAGGTCCTGGGTTCAATCTCTAGTATCACCAAAATAAATAAATGGATAAATAAATTTTAGTCTGATTTGAGTGACCATTCTATTAATGATCTCTTGTATTATTCTCTATTTTAGTGGATCTATTAAAAAGTGTTAAAAATCAACACTTTATACACTGCAAAGTAAATCTATATTTGTTTATATTTTAAAACATCAAAACTTTTGCTGGGATTTCCTGGCTGATGTGCTTATTAAATGGTCACTAGAACCTAAGAATATGACTCAAGAGTAGCTGCTTGGGTATTTCTAGACTCTTTGGTTACAGCTTGTCCTGCTGTCTTCTATTAATGTTTAATTTATTAAGTGTATTTCCTGTACTAAGATTCCTTTTTAAACTTTTATGTACTAATATGTATACTAAGTATTTCAAAGTGTGGCATAAAAATAATAAAACCCAAATAGATAATATAGAATAAAGTATAGCTTTGGAACCAAAAAAATAAAATAAAATAAATAAATTTTAAAAATGAAGAAGAAGAAGAGCAGGGGGAGGAAGAGGTGGAGGAGGAGGAAGAAAGGAAAAAGGAAAGGCACCAAGTCACCACTTGGGCCACTGTATTTCTGGAGTTACATTTCTCTTTAACCTCAAGTATCTGATAAAACACTCCCCAGACCCTTCAGGTCAGCTCCCCTATCCCCAGTGCACTGTGTCACCCACTTTGTCAGTGTTTGGTCTCTCCTGGGCTCCCAGCATCTCAGTTCGATGCTTCTGCCGTGCATACAGTGAAGTTCACTCTGTGTGTGTGCAGTTCTGTGGGTCTTGCAGATGCAGAGTCCTGCATCTGCTTCCCCAGGACCACACAGAGCAGTCTGTTGCCTTGCTGGGCCCAGAGCTGCCTACCGTGGGGAGTTTTCCCCATGGCTCTCTACCCATTTCATACCTTTTCTAGAATGTCACAGAAGTGTGTAGCCTTTCAGATCTGGGTTTTTTCACTCAGCAAATCATTTCTGAGCTTCCTCCAGGCTGTTGCATGGGTCAACAGTTGGCTCCTTTCTGTTGCTGGTGGTATTCCGAGGTATGGACAGGTGGCTCTCCTGTTGGAGGGCAGCAGGGTTGTTTCCTGTTTGGATGATAATAGGTAGAGCTGCTGTAAGCATTCTTATATCAGGTATTTTTCTTGTTTTTTTGGTAAATAAATATAGATTTAAAATTCACTTTGGAAAAAATGAAGTGTGAGACCGCTGGATTTTTGTTTGTTTTTGTTTTTTGTTTTTGAGACAAGGTCTTGCTGTATAACCCAGGCTAGCCTTGAACTCACTGTGTACCCCAGGCTGGCCTCAAACTCACAGAAATCCTCCTGCCTCAGCCTCCTGAGTGCTGGGATTATAGGTGTGTGCTACCACACCTAGCCGATTGCTGGATTTTTAAACCTAACTCACAGAAAGAAGGAAGGAAGGTATAAGGGTAGGCTGTGCATCAGTGGGATGGAGAGCAGCAGGAGGGCCATGGCAGGCTGGTTAGGGGATCAAGCACCCACGTCCTCAGTCTGCTGTAAGTGCTGGCTCTGGGCACCTTGGGTAAAGACTCAGGTATGAGTGCCAGGTGAAAAGGCCCTTGCTTAACCAAAGTTTCTGGCCTGAGATGGTCCAATACTCACCACCGCTGCTGTCTCCAGAAACGTGGCCACCTTCACCCTTAGGGAGCTGAGTGCCCATACTTGCCTGAGATGGTACAGTTGTGTTCATTGGGTCTCACAGCCTCTTCCTCTTGCTTTGTCAGTCAGGGCCGAGACCTGCGACTGTGCCTATGGGACCTGGCAGAGGGCCGGAATGCCATTGTGGACTCTGTGTGCCTGGAGAGTGTGGCCTTCTGCAGGAGCTCTGTTCTGGCCGAGGGGCAGGCACGCTGGCTGCTTGCACTGCCAGGGAAGGGCAGTGATGAGGTGAGGACCAGCACTACTGATGCCCTTCATTCCCCGAACCATCAGGTACTGGGTTTCTATTAAACAAATGTATTTGTCCTGCATGCCTGGTAAGGAGGCATACCTGGCTGCCTATTAGGCTCTGAAAGCTGCTTCATGTAGGCATAGGGGCCACCTGCTTGGCTATACCTCTAGTGGCCTTAGACTCTTCACAGCTGGCTCTGCCTTGGCCTGGTCACCTGTGAAGTAGGCTAGGGTGAGCCATCCTTCCAGGCCAGTGGTGAGAATCAGAATGGGCCAAGGGGAGGGGCTCATGCCTTGGACCCCTTGGAACCCAGTGCAGTAATACTGATGGAGGAGAACAGCCAGGGATAGCAGAGTGTGCAGACCTAAAGCCACCAGGGGCGGTTGGAGGAGAAACACTGAGTTCCTCTGGGTATGTAGGCCAAAGTAGGAGGGACACTTGAGTGACTGGCAGGAGGTAGTGGATGAGAGACTGAGGCCCTGGTAATTGAGAATGCAGGGCACTATAGTGGTAGTCGTGGCCCCTGAGGAACAGGTGAGCAGAGGAATTTATAGAGGAGAGGTCTCCCAGGGGCAGGGAGGTCACTGTTTGGTGACATTCAGGCCAGAGTGACAGGAGGAGGTATTAGTGATGTGGAACTGGTCAGGTTGTAGAGTGGTGTCCACACCCCAGGGACAAAGGAAGCAGAGTCCACCAAGGAAAGGGGTGCCCAGAATACAAGGATAAAGGTACAATGTGGGAAGTCAGGGCAGAGGACAGCATAAAGGGGATGGTGAGGACACAGGCCCAGCTTTAGGGAAGAGAGAGTGGAGAAGGACCTAAGAGTGGTGATTGTCAGGCCTGATAAGTGTGCGGGACTGTTGCTTCAGGGGCAAGAGGCTGGGAAGGGGCTTTTGTCCATCCCCTTGTAGGCCCACAGTCCTTTGTGGTCAGTGGTGCTAGTCAGGGAAACTCCCCCCAGTGCTGGCACGTCAGGCCCCGTATACTTGGTTAGGCTTGGCCCCACTCAAGAAGTCATTTTTGTCTTCAAGTAGAGCCGGTTCATAAATAATGAGATAGGAACGGGCATTTATTTGTTCATGATTACATTTAAATCACCAATTAGCTACGTGCACTTTTCTTGCTAGTTTGCCAAAAACCTGTTAAAATTTTTATTAATGTGAGAAGGAGGGGGCATGCTTCTTCCTGGATGGTGGGAGCAGGTGGTGCCAGCTTCTCCCCAGCTGCAGACCCATGAAATGCCATCCTGAGGTTCGAGAGAGTTCATTCCCAAGGGCGGTGCTGCTGGCCATCCTCCATGTGCTCTCATCTCAGTCATACCCAGGCCGCTGCCTGGTGCATGGTTAGCCTGCAACTTCCCTCCCTGGAAGCCATCCCCTGCGTGGTTTTAACCAGCTTCCTGTTTCCAGTTCTCCCAGTACAGGCAGCATTGGTATTTTTCAGGAACAGTCAGTCTGGGGACCTTGGACATCCTGGGAAAATGGTTGTTTTCCACATTCCCACCTGGAATATGCCTGGACTGAGCCCTGGAAAAGCATTGCTAGCCTATGCCCAGACAGTGCCTGGGGAGCACACTCCTGCCCTGCTTAGCTGTCTGGGTGGCCACACTTGTCCAAACCCAGCATTTTCCTTCTGGAAACAAAAATTGCAGTTGGGTGCCAGATGGAAAGTGTCTGTAGGCTCTGAGCACAGCAAGACCAGGGACTCCTCCTCTGACAGCACAAAACCTGGATCACGGTCCCTGGGCCAGGTGGTTGCATGCCTGCCCCTTGATGCCCAGGTCCTGGGCTCTCTACTGCATGAAGGATGGCGACTCAAGAAGCTGCTGTTCCCATACTCCCTCCTGTACTTCCCAGCTTAGACCCTCAGAGCTGGCCTGGTTTTTACCCTCACCCCCTCTTCTAGCCAAAAAGCAGATTTGCTGTATAAACGCCTGGCCCCTTGTCCTCAAGCACCTCTGCACTGCCACCCAAGGGGTCTTCCTGAGCCCACAGGTCAGGACAGCCCTTACTCATAAGCTGTGGGCTATGCAGACTACTTGTCCTGTGACTTCTGCCTTCCCCCAGATACCCCAGGAACATGTGTATACTGAGGGCTCCTTCTGCATTCAGCATTTGGGTCATAGCTCAACCCTGGCCCAGTGCCCACTCCCTGCAGGCTGTGGTTTGTACCTATAGCTCTTCACACAGTGACAACAGCTGATTCCACAAGGAGAAACTTGGTAATAGAGTCTATATTATTCCTGCAGAAAGTAGAGAGGGGCTCAGAGCCCCACCTCCGGCTTCTCCTGGGTCCCTTGTTGCTCTGGCCTCACCTTAGTTCTCCTGGATCTTGGCAGAGTGTTCTCACCAGGGTCCCCACATGGCTCAGCCTTAGATGTATAGACACATGTGTGTTTGTGTGCACGTGTACCTGAATGTGTATGTACACTTTGTGTTCATGTGTGTGTCATGTGGGTGCAAGACTCAACTTCTGCAGTAGGTGGGACAGAGCTGTGGTGCACAGCAAGGGCAGAGGCCCAGCTGTCCAAAGGTGAGCCACTGTGGGGACCCTGGTGAGAGCACTCTGTCCAGAGGTACCACAACCGGGTCCATCTGTCAGACATGGGCATGTCAACAGGACTCTCTAGCCAAAGGACTGGGCTGTGTGTTCATCCCTCTGTCCTGCCTAGAGGCTGCCTGGGCACAACCCTCCAGGATACATATGGGACATGTAACTCAGAACCAGGGGCCCAGGCACTGGCCCTTCAGACATTGTCTGCTAGCCTGGCCTGAAAGGCCAGACCGGCTAGTGTGAGTTCTATCCAGTTGACATCCCAACCTCTCTGGACTACAGGTTCCTCATATGTAAACCAGGGAATCCTCAGTGTTGGCTAGCCTTTCTGTCAAGTTTAGCTGGACGTTGATATTCTTGACACATTATTGGTAGACAAGTAAGTTCTGGGCCAACATCCCTTACCCTAGTTCATAGAGTCATGGCAGAGGGCACAGACATACCTAACTGGCAGTAGAACCACTCAACATTACAAACACAAGGCAGGGGAACATTTAGCTGGCCCTGTGTTGCAGTGTCATGTGGGAGCACCCTGCTCCTCCGAGCTCACAGGAAGGGGTGCCCTGTTCCTACTAAGTAGTTGAGGGTAACCAGGCACTTAGGGACACAGGACAGCTAGGGGCCCAGTTCCTTTCTGTGGTGTTCCAGTGACTAAGTCTGCTCCTCACAGCCTTAACCATCCCCTAGGGATGGTGCTGGGCAGAGTCTGTTCTGGCTAGTCAGTAGATGGGCAGCTCACTCAGGTTGATTTCAGGCCTGTGAGGCCTGACTATGGGCCACAAGGCACCCCTTCCTGCCCAGGTGCAGGAGGACCCAGCACCCAGGCAGCCTAGATATGCAGGACAGCAATCAGGGCCTGGAAAGCCAAGGACCAAATGGAGCTGCTCTTGGAGTCCACATCTTGCTCATTTCTTAGACTGATGGTGGATCTTAGGTGCTCCTGTGTGATACTCCCGAGATTGCATAGAGTGGTTCCTGTATAAAAAACCTACATCGAGAAAGGAAACAAGCAGAGGAGGGAGAATGACCAGGCTAAGTTAGGGCTGGCTGAGACAGGCCTGTTCCACCCTGATGGCAAAATTGAGAGAGGCCATAGACAGCCACCAGTCTGTGACAGGCCGGTCACTCAGGAATGATGTGAGCATTTGTTGCACAATGGCCCTGCAGCACCCAAGCCCACGAGCCTGTAAAGCCTAATTAGGAGACTCACCTCCCAGGTCCCACAGGGAGGGGAGCAGACAGAAACTTGCTGCAACCTTGGCTAATCGCCTTAAAAGTCTCTTGTTTGTATAGCACAAACTTGACTTGGCTTCGGCCCAAATCAACTTGTTTTCTTACTGTCAGGTTCAGATTCTGGAGATGCCATCCAAAACGTCAGTGTGCACCCTGAAGCCGGAGGCAGATGCCAAGCCAGGCATGCCCATGTGCCTGGGGCTGTGGCAGGTAAGACAAGCGTGTGGCAGCCCCGCCCTGCAACCACGCCTGCCAGCCATGAGTCAGGCCCCATTCAGGGTTTGATTTGTCGTCAAATCAATGGGGCAATACTCCCTTCAGAGAACACACATAGGCCACTTTCTGTGGCTCCAGTATCCTCTGCCGAACCTCTGCTTCCTCTGCCAGCGGCTGCTGTTGCTTTGAAAGGGCTCCTGTAAATCCCCAGCTCTGATTGTTCATCCTCCCTCTGGGATGCCTCCTGCTGGTGGCCATGAGGAGGGAACTGTCAGGTCAGCTGCCTGGCCCACTCCCTGGGGGAACGTGTGCCCTTCCTCTGTCTGCCTGGATCTCAGACTGCCAAGCCCAGGAGGGAAAATGCTGACTAACCTCGGCAAGCCCACGCCGCCCTTGCCATGCTTGGGATTAATTTTTGTTGCCTCTTTACCTCTTAGAAGTAGGAATGGGCTTAACACAATGACTTTCCCTGCAGCCATTTCCTACTTTTTCTATTATACTTTCATGTTAGAGAAAGTCAGGAGCACTTCTGAGCTGGCAGCCAAAGCTGGGCCAAAGTGGGAGTCACAGTCTTGGATGTGGGAGGGACAGTCCCAGCCCTTCTCAAAGTAAGGCCTGCTCCTGCCACACCCCCAGCACAGCTGGTTCAGCTGTTGAGTGTCTTCTCCTGGGGCCATTCATGGCTGGGGCACCAAAGCAAATGATTTAGGGTGTTAGTTTCCAAAGAGTCCCAGAAGCCTCAGCCTCAAGCCTCTTCACTGGTGTAGAAATCATGGTGGGTAAGTCATCGACTAGTGCCCTCTCAGGAGCAGTGGGTGATCCCTGCACCACCTTCCTACTGCTGTTCAGTGCTGAGAGCTACACTGTTCTGGGTAGTGGTCAGGAGGAAGCCTCTTTGAACTTTTTTTTAAAGAATTAGATTAAGTTAGGAGATATCTGCATGCCCCACAAGAACCCCCCAGGACAGGGACTCTCAGAGACCCTACCTTGATACTGTGCTTCAGTCTGTCCATGTGAGAAGAAAAACTGATGGCCTTCTTGCCAGTTGGCTCCTCCCCTGCAGTTTCTTGACTGAGAAGTTCCAGTTGAAATTTGAGATCTCCAATAAGCTGATCCTGGGGTACTGCCTCTTCCACTCAGCCTCTTAGAGAGAAGCCCAGGGGGCTTGAGGGGGGACTTTGGAGAGACTCACCTAAAACAGCAAAGCTCCTGGAGCCAGATTTGTGGTCATGCCTCAGGGACTGCAACAGAGCCTGGGTCCCTGTCCTCCCTGTGTCCAGACAGGGCTCTCTGAGGGCTCATGGGTGTGTCCCTGGGAAGAGAAGGTCTTTCCACCCCACCTCCCAGCCAGCCCCTGCAGAAGTGCTCCAGGCAGTAACCATAGTGCTCTCAGGTCTTGGGGCAGGAGCTTCTGGCTGCTCCCACTCCTGTTCTGCTGCCTGGGAAATGTGGGATGTTATGTAATCATGTAAAAATTCCAGCCGAAAAATGTGTAGAAAGGGATGTACAAACTTGTTAAGGTAATTAATATAGCTGACAGAAGGACAAATCAGTTTTGTTGGTAATACAGATCCAACGTGAAGCCTCAAGAAAAGCCCACATTAACTTCAAGTGTTCCTTTTTTCTCCCCAGGCTGTAAGTCTAGGTTGTAAACTTAATCTAAGTGTGGCAAAGTGACCAGACTTGGTGTTTTTTCTGCAACACTTAGTCTATTCTTATTTGCAACTCAAAACAACCAATCTGTGTTATTAGAATAATTACTGCATAAAACGCCAGGATGTAAATCAGGCTTGAGGCAGCATCATTGGCACCAGCTTTCAGAGCAGCCCCTAATCTTGAGGGCACTCTAGCTGACCCCTCCCAAGTTGGAGTGCAGAGAATTGGCTGCTCCTCATGGGAACCCAGATGCTGCATACCAGGGGACAGGAGGAGCTGTGGAGTGAGTCTTTGTCTCCAGGTCTCAGTTGAGGGAGAAGGGAAGAGCCAGAGAAAAGCACATAGGGGTGACTTCAGATCCTCATGCCTACAGAGGTTGGGCAGCACATGGGAGTACTTACTATCTGACCAATGGAATCTATCACTGGGAGGCCATAGGGACTCCAGGTACAGCAGAGAGCTAGGTGGCTAAAACCACAGGGCAGGCACCTCCAGAACAGCCTGAAGTCTCCAGCTATCCCATGGAACCATGACAGATGAGTAGTCACACATAGCCCCTGAATTAGCTGTGGTGCTTGGAACCTGTCAGAGGCCACGGTTTAATGCAGAAACTGACTGGAACCAATGTCAGTGATAAGAGGAGTTCCTGGAGACTTCAACTCAGAAAACACGGAAAGAGTCCAGCGGGGAATGGAAGGGGAAGACTCAGCCAAGGTTGCTAGGATTGGGACTGGGCGCCACCAGAGCACAGTGCCCCAAGGGAGTGACTCTCAGTAGCCCCAGGTGAATTCTTTGAAGCTGGCCTTTGAGGCAGGGTGCAGTAGGTGGCCACACCTTGACTGGTGGCAGGGGCTAACATCTGTTCCTAGTTAGGCTGCAGGGGGTTCCAGGCTTCTCCCACCTGGCATTGACCCTTCCTTGGACCCCAGTGGGGCTGCTTGCCCAGAGTGACCCGTCTGGAGAAGTGTGTCTGCCCACAAGGTGCTGCCATGTGGACAGCCTGCCTGTTTAATGTGCCTTCCGTCCACATATGGGAGAGGAGTAGCATAGCCTGCACGAGTCATCTCTGAGCAAGTAATCTGAAAAACATCAACATGGGCCTCTTCCCTGTAATGGCAGCATAGGAACAATGCAGCTGCATAGGCAGGCCTTCTGCAGGATGGAGGCCGGACTAGTGTGGGGTGCTGGGCACACTTGGAAACTCGGGAGAGTCCTGCATCTCAGAGTCACAGTCCAAGAGCACAGTTTGGGCTCCACTAATAGGGGAGGACAACTCCAGGTGATGCCTGAGAGGAACCATCCAAGAGGATGCACAGCAGCCTTGTGCCTCCTTTCCTCCTTCCCTCTCCTGTTTTGTGTTTGTGAATTTAAAGTATTGTCAGGACATAGTCAGCTTACAAGCTATTTTTAGGGATATGTGGTGGCCTCCTCTGTACCAGCTCTGGCCTTGATAGGTTTGCTGTACCCGTGTGCATGCCCAGTGACTGTGTTGTTCTCACCATCTGACAGGCATCCTCCAACCCAAACATGGTTCTCCCCGCTCTCATCACACAACCCCCAGCCTCAGTTTCTCTTTCTGACACTGAGGACCCTGTGCCATTGAGGCTGTCATCGACTGGTTAGATATGTGTCCTGGGCCTCTGACTAAACCAGTCTATTTTTTTTTTGGTACTGGGGATCGAACTCAGGACCTTGCACTTGCCAGGCACCACTGAGCTAAATCCCCAGGCTAAACCAGTCTTTGCTCAGCCATGTGAGGTTTCTCTTGGGCCTCTGCTTAGTGACAGGACTGATGGCTGCGTCCCCCAGGGTGACTTGGAATCCTGCAGCGCTCCTCTTCTGTAGTTGTTTCAGAGGCTAAATAAACGAGGCATCTGCCCAGGGCACGGAGCCCTCTGACCCTCACCCTCATTCATCATGATAGCAAGGGCCACTAGAGTTCCACGAACACCAGGCTTCCAGGGCTGGGGGCTTCCGCAGACACATTGATGAAGCACACAAAGTTCATTTTTCACAGAGATGGAGCTTGTGATTTTCCTGGCTGGGGATTCTAAACAGGTGACCAGCCCCAGAAAAGAGTGGCCTCAAGTCTGTGGCCAGGACAGGAAGCAGGAAAATGGGTCCCTAACAGCTCTCAAGGCCTTGGTGGGTGCCCAGTGCCTCCTCTTTCAAGCATAAACCAGTGCTGGCAGGTGTCAGGTCTCAGGGCTGGTGAGAAGTGGCCATGTGAGGCCTGGGGGCTCTCTGTGCCACTCTGGGCTCTGTGCCTTCCAGCCCCTGGGGTGCACAGCAGCGGTCCTGCCAGACCCATGCCGGTGGTGAGAGGCACCAGGGGAGACTGCATAGGAAGGTATTGGGGTACAGAGCCTCAGGACTGTTGGCTCCATGGAAAGCACAGGAAATTGCCCCTTGACTATGCTGCCCCACCTTTGCCTTTCTCCAGAGCCCTGTCTCCCCAAACCTCACTGGAGACCAATCCCTTCTGGGTTCTGACCTCTGTGCTATTCCCCACAGGCAGAGTCCAGTCCCCGCCCCCTCCTTCTGGCTGGCTATGAGGACGGATCAGTGGCCCTGTGGGATGTCTGGGAGCGGAAGGTGTGCAGCCGTGTCTCCTGCCACGAGGAGCCCGTCATGGGCCTTGACTTTGACTCTCAGAAGGCCCGGGGCGTCTCCGGCTCTGCGGGGAAGGCGCTGGCTGTCTGGAGCCTGAATGGGCAGCAGGCCCTGCAGGTCAGTGCGCTGGGCCCTGGGCCTCATTTATCCTGCTCTGCACTAACAGTCTGATAGGCTGAAACAATATTTAGGCATGAAGAGGAGCTGCCGCAGATCCCTGGCTAATTAATCACTTGGAGGTGGTGCAGGCAGGCCTGTCCAAGGCTGTCGTAGGAGGAAGGGGGCGTGGGTGTGGGCCAGCCCTTCACATGGTTTGGGTTTCTCCCAGACCTCAGGTTAACAGCCGTCACGTCTTGTCCATCTAGAGAAAGGCACGTAGAGTACAGGCAGACCCAAGCCCCTTTGTGAAAACTCAGAGGAATTTGACCAGTAAGGAACTGATTAATCAAAAACAAAAACAAAAACAAAAACCTATGGAAAGCTCCACGGAGCCATGGCCCCCGGTGGTGGTCTGCAAGCTGGCCCTAGGAGGCTGTTGCTCAGTGGCAGCAGGAAAGACCATGGGGCAAGGGCTTGAGGCCTCGGGGCTGAGTGAGGGTTGCTGGAGATCTCCCTGTAATGTCTTGTGGCCTATCCCAGCTTTTATGGCTCAAGAACGGCTGATGTCTACACCTGGATCAGTGACCACAGTCCCCAGCACAGGGTGGCCCAGCCTGCATGGTTCACTCCATGGTATGGGAGACTAGAGCCCAGAGAGAAGAGGGGATGGGAGTGTGGAGCCAAGGCGAGTGGGGCATGTGTTCACACGTCCTGGGTATCACCTTGTGCTTGGACGACAACGTGTGCAGCATGGTGAACTCAGAGTAAACATCTGCCATCTGTCTGTCTGTCCGTCCATCTGTCTGTCTTCAGTGTCTTGGAGAGGCCATTGGAGGCCCTGGCACCAGAGGTAGAGCTTCTCATGCATTTACCTGGAAGGAGGGGTATCCGAGGCCCAGAATGGTGGGCTGGGGTGGTGAGTGGGTCTGAAAGCCATAATACTGATGGTCATTTTTAGAACTGGAGGTTTAGAATTGGGTGCTGGGTCTGCATGTTCTGAGTTCCCACCAGATGGGTGTGGGAGGCTCTCCCTCACACTCCTCCCTCCTGCTCCATGAGGCCCAATGTTTGTCCCACGGTGAGTTGACGCTCATTGGCCTGACTTTACAAAGAGCTGAAGCCCAGGCAGCTTCTCCAAGAGCTCTGTAGCTCCCACCCAAGCTCCCTGCACAGGAAGGAGCCATCCTGCCCATGTCTGCTCAGCCTCTTCTGGCGTGTTTGGGAAACAGCTGCTGGAACTTAAAATTTAAATTTATGGGGCATGTTCCCGTCGAGATGAACTTTTACTCTACTAATGAATTGAAAAGTTAAAGCAGAAGGGGAGGCAGGGATTCTAGCCTGGAAGTAGTTGGGGTGATGGTGGGTGCTGGGTAGGTTCTGGCTCAGCCAGGCACATCAAAGGAAGAGGCGAGGTCTCACCCCCAACTGAGCACTGCACTCCTGGGGGAGGGGTGTCCTAGGTGATAGAGAACAATCCTAGAGGAGGGTGAAGGCCTTCTCTTCTCTCTTCTCCTCCTCTTCCCTTCCCTTCCCTGTCTCTGTCTCTATCTCTGTCTCTGTCTCTCTCTCCTTTTTCCTCTCTCTCTCCACTCTCTCTTGGTATGGTACTAGAAATTTTACCCAGGGCCTTTGGACTTACCTATACTTCCAGTCTTTTTTTATTTTGAGAGAGGGTCTCACTAAGTCACTCAAACACCCAGGCTGAGCTCAAAATTATGATCTTCTTGCCTCAACCTCCTAGTACAGTTGTGTGCCACCAGCCTGGCAAAGGCATCAAAATCACATCCAGTGCTGACTCAGAGGTCCTGGAGATTTCAGGTTCGGTAAATCTCAGGCCTCTGGGAGGAAGCATTCAGGGTGCTTTGCTATCTGATGGTCCTTGACACCTGGAAGCAGGTGAGGTGGCCTTGAGCCCTTGGTATCCACAAGCATCCTCACCCATGCCATGACACTGCAGTATGGCTGCCTGCCTTGGTCCAAGAGCCACGTAGACACAGATGTGCCTTGTTTGTGTCCTCTTGCTGAAACTTCTGTTGAGCCCAAATCAGTCTCTCCCAGGCAGGCACTAGGAGCAGAGATGTGGATGAGGTTCCTGTGCAGAGCGTGGGTAATCAGAACCAGATGGCGGCTGTGCCTCACATTCCTGGCATCTGAGGTCATGTGCTATAAGAGCCACTGGTGGCCAGAGATCCTTCCTGGAGGGTCCCAGGCCTGGCTGGGGCGCAGCAGGGGCCCATAATAGTGACCAGGAGGCTACCTGCTCAGGACAATGCCTAGGGGGGGCTTCGGGGACACTTGATGACATCAAAGCTACATGCCAGCCTTACTGAGGTGGCTTTCCTGCTAGCTATCAGGTTTGGGCCTTAGGTGTTGTCAGATACAGGTGGTACACAGGCCCTGTTCCTTCCTCCTACACTTGGGGCAGGGCCCACAGCCTTGAAGCAGGGACTGATTTATAGCCAGTAGTATTTTTAGGTCTTTAAGTAATAATGAGGCTCCTCCACCCCTGTCAGCCCTGAGCTGGGAGCAAACCTGCCGTGCTCTCCCCTCATTGCATTCAGTCAGCATCCCAGCTGTACCAGAGCTATGGCCAGTACCTTCTCTCTCCTTGGCTTCAGCGGAGAATTCCCTTTAAATAGGAACAGCAGAGCTACCAGGGCAGGAACTACTAGGCTGAGTGCTCTGCACACCTAGAGTAACCACGTCCACTATATCAGGAAACAAGAACTGCCTCAGGATTTAGACACAGTCCAGCCTGGTGTCCATGTCACAGGGCTCTGGCTAGTCTCCCTGCATCTTCCCAGGGCCTGGTCCTCAGAAACACTGCCCCCAGGACAGACACCAATGTCCAGGTCCCCATGCAGGCTTCCAGTGTCTCCCTTCTTGCCTGCCAGGAACCTGGTCCTCCTGCTGGGCTGTCTCTGCCTTGATGCCCTCACCCATTTCCAAGAGTGGCTTCAGTAGGTATGGAGTCACTCCTATTCCCACCAGCTGGTGGTTTAGCACAGCCAAGCCCCTGGGCAGGAGCTGGATATCTTAGCCCCTTGCAGGTACAGATACTGCATGGAGGTGTGGGAAAGCCAGTGTGGGCTGCCCGCTCCCTGCCACCTACCTCCTGCCTGTGAAGACCACAGTGCAGGGTTCCATTGAACTCTCCCTAACCCTTGGCTCTGTGTGTTCAGCACCAGGGTGCAGGTTTGAAAGCAGCTCTCCTCTCTCTGGGAAGCATCATAGTTAGGAAATTCTTATGAAGAGGGAATAGCAAGGCCCTGGGTGGGCCCCAGCAAGGCCCACTGCTTGGCTCCCAGGGGTCTCCTCTCTGCCACTGACCCAGGGCAGCAATCACAGGAGAGAAAAGGATAACGTGATGTCAAGCACCCTGCTGACCTGGTTCCTAGCCACATGTGCACTACAGCATCATGGGAATGCTCCCAAGACCAGCCTGTGTATGTTGGGCAGAGAGGTGGTGTGGAAAGGAAAGAGTGTGGCCCAAGAGCTGGGCACTCTGTACACTGAGGGCCACCTGGCCTTGTGGTCACAGAGTCAACAGCCGTGTATTCTGCAGCATGTCCAGCAGCTTGTGAGCAAGTACAGGCAGGAAGCACAAGCGCTCACAGCCAGGACTCTGCCCAATGAAAATAACAGTAAGGCAGAGTGGGCAGTGGGAGAAGAGCAGGGCCATGAAAGACGATCAGGGTTGGTGGGCTGGGGGATGTTGGCACATTCATGGATTGGAACTGGGTACTCAAGAGGCAGCTAGAAGGGCAGATTGGGCTGGCGGGGGTCCTTGGCTATGAGATGTGGAGTAGGCGTTGAGGTAGTGGGGACAGTGTGGCAGGAGGGGAGATAGGTGAGGTGAGGATCATGCTGGTTGGAGCCAGACCCTGACATGTGATGTCCTGGAGGGACTGCGCTGAGCTGACAGGGAGGCTGAGTTTGCTGTAGGTTGCAGGCAGGTTCTCTTCAGGGGGGTAGAGGAAAAGTCTATATCATGGGTGAGTGCTGGATTTTACCAAATGCTTTTACTGCATCTCTCAGACTCGTGACTTTTCTTCTCCATGCTATTAATTTAGTGGATTGCATTGTTCAATATTTTTTCATTAATATCAAAACAACCAAATAAAGCCAGCACAATGGCACATGCCTATAGTCCCAGCTATTTGGGAGCCTGAGACAGGAGGATTGTCTGAGCCCAAAACTTCAAGATTGGCCAGGGCACTATAGCAAGATCCTGTCTAAAAAAGAAAAAAAAAAGTCCATCTGGGTGAGGTGGTGCACACCTGTAATCCAGCACTCTGAGAGGCTGAGGCAGGAGGACTGCAAGCTTAAGCCCAACCTGGGCAACTTAGCAAGACCCTATCTCAAAATTAAAATAAATAAACGGGACTGGGGATGTTTCAGTGTGAAGATCTTCAGTTCAATCCACAGTATCACAAAAACAAAAACACAAAACAGAGCATGTCATCTTACTCTGCTGGCTCAGTCAGAGCAGTTCGGGGCTGCAGACTGATCAGCACAAGCCCCTTTCTGTGCTTGGCTTCGCTGTTGGTATGGAGGTGTCAGGAGACCAGAATTAAGAGGTCAATGGATATGTCTGGGCAGGGAGAATTTTCTTTGTTGTTTGTTTTGTTTTGCAGTGTTGGGAATCAAACCCAGGACCTCACGCACACTAGGACAGCGCTGTACCACTGAATCACATGCTCTAGCCAGGAATCTGCTTCTTTTTTGTTAAAGACAGAGTTTTGCTCTATATTCCAGGATGGCCTCCGACCTTCCTGCCTCAGCCTCTTGAGTGCTGAGATTACTGGCATGAACCACCATGCCCAGCTAGGAATCAGCTTCTTGAATGGCCACGGGTTAGTCTGCTTATACCACTGTGGGCAGGAATTTTCTTTGTGGAGAAGGTTCAGTTTTCTTGACGAACTTATTTAGGTTTCTTGATTTTTAGTGGAAGTTGCATTTTTCTAGGGAATTATAGGTGAAAATATTTTCAGAATATTTTCTTAAAGATCATTTTG